AGGGAGGTCACTCTGGCTGGGCTTGGGGGACGGCCAGAGGCAGGGAGTCCTACTGGGCAGAGGTGCCCAGGGCTGAGGGGTGGAGCACAGGGATCTCTGGGTGCAGGGGCCCCAGGACTTGGGGGCTGTTGGATGTGGCGAAGGGGGAGAGGGGGGATCAGGAAGGTACCCCAATTCCTGGCTTGGCGTCCCAGGGCTGGGGGCGCTGGGACGGGTTTAGTAGAGAGCAGCAGTCTGGGAGGGACGTGGGGGAAGACGTCCACGGCACTAACATTATACCCAGCTCCCGAGTAAGTTTCCTGTGGCCCCCATAACAAATTTCCACAAATTGGGGGCTTAAAATAACAAAAACCTGCTCTCCCACGGTTCTGGGGGCCGGAAGCCCAAAATCGAGGTTTCGGCAGGGCTGCGCTCCCTCTGCAGGCTCAGGGGAGGGTCCTTCCCGCCTCCTCCAGCTCCCGGCGGCCCGGCGTTTCCTGCACCAGCATCACCCAGCCTCTGCCTCTGCCGCCCCATGGCCTTCTCCTCTGAGTGTCTCTTATAGGGACACTGTCTTTGGATGTAGAGCCCACCCCAATCCCGCACGATCTCATCTCGACGCCCTTAACCTGATTATAGCTGCGAAGGCCCTTCCTCTAAATCAAGTAACATCACAGTCTCTAGGGCTTGGACGTGTATTCTGGGAGACCCCCACTCAACCCACCGCCCCGGAGAGAATTACCTGTGCTCCGTCGAGGGGTGTGGACCGGAGCGAGTTACCTTCTCTTCTTTCAACCCCTGCCCGGCCTGGTCCTCCGGCCACCTGCCTGGTCCGACAGACTTTACTTGCTGGGAAAATCGCACTTCGCTGCCCAAGTGCGACAGGAAGCTTAACAAAGCCTGTCGTGCAGCCGGATGGAGAATAGAACGTGAGCGATGCATCCAGCTTTGCCGCGGGAGGGGCTCGTAAATGAGACTAATTACATTCATGGCCGAGGGAGGTCGGTCCTGCCGTGAACCTCGTAAAGTGCCATCCTACGTGTGGGTTCACGCAGCTGCTTGTGAAACGGGGAGGGGCCGTCTGGGGGTTAATTCTCCAGATGAAGGGGCGCTCCGGGATCATGCCCAGCCCCTCGTTGTACAACTGGAGGACACTGAGGCTTCAGGAATGGAAATGACTTTTGCCTGTGGCACCAAACAGTCCAGAGAAAGCTGAGACCAGACGCCTAAGCCAAGGGCTCTGTTCACTGGTCGCTGCCAAAGTCAAAGCTACCGCACGTGGTCACTGTCAGACCCAGCGTCCCGAAGTCCATGGGCATGTGGAATAATGGGTGTGAGTCTCGGAGGAGTGTTTGTGGTGTCCTTTTGGGGCATCACTGTCATGCTGCAGAGGCTGCTTCTGCATCTCCTTCGTCAGTCCCCCAGGCCCCTGCTTTACGACGTGACTAAGAGACAACCTCCATCCACGATTAATGCCTCCACACTCCCGCGGCACCAGCGGGGAGCTAGGCGGCCCGCTCTGGCAGGGCCCTGGTGAGCTGAGCCAGAGGTCTGGGCGAGGCCATCCCTGAACTGGCTGACCAAAGTCCCAGTTACATGGCTATGCCCTGAGGGACAGACACTGTGCTGCTCCAGAGGTGCCAGGTGTGGCTCTGGACCCTGCAGTTCAGAGACACATGTTGGCTGTGACTGGTTTTGTCTCCCTCCAGGGGGTCATGTGTTTTACATCTATTTTTTCTCGGCACCCACTGTATTTAGAGTCCTTTTTTTTTGCAACAGTGAGAGAGAGTGTCGCCAAGTGATGCTCGTGCTGGAAGAGCCTCGTTCCTGGGCCGTCGGTGGGGCCCAGCATCAGGGCCTGGGATTCACAGGTGTCACAGCTTCGTGGTGCCGTGGTTCAGGCATGTTAGCTACAGAGGGCTGCAGACGGGATTGAGACCCGTGTGCTTTGAAAAGCCTTCATGGCCTCACACAGATTTCTAACCAGTGTTTGGAAAAGGCAGGCCAAAGCCACGAAGAAGTCGAACGTCATCGTCACGAGGCCATCGGGAGCCCAGCATAAGGAGGCCACCTGCAGCGGGACGCAGGAACCTGAACTCTGTAACCATTTGCTTGACCTTGGCCCCTGAGTGAGTCTGGGGCCAGGATGTGGGGGCAGAGAGAAGGGGCTCTGAGCCCACCACTCTCTCTGGCCACCAGAGTCCACAGCCTTCCAGGCCGAGAAGACAATTCACAGAGACAAGCTTCGGTCTCCATGAGCCAGAGTTCACATACCGTATCTGTGACCCTCCTCCACTGAGCTGGGTTCTAGAACATCCCAAGGCCAGAGGGGAAGAGTATTTGGACCCTGGATCAGTCAGGAGGGTTAGGCTATGCTGCAGTAACAAGCAATCAGAAGGTCTCAGGCATTTCTCGCTGCGCTACGCGTCCCCTGCAGGTCATCTGAGGCTCAGGTCTCGCGGCAGAGAGAAAGGTGTCATGACAAACCACATGCTGGCTCTCAAAGCTTCAGCCCCAAAGTGACATGTGCCACTTGTCACTTCCATCCTCCATTCATTGGAAAAAGCAACAAGTCGGCTGGCTGCCCTGAGTTCCGCCCGCCTTGGCCAAGGCTCTCCCCAGAATGTTCAGAGAACTTCCTGCAGGCAAAGCGTCTTCACTTTATCCCACTGAGTCCTACCTGCCCCTCCAAGGAGGTTGTAACCTCCTCGAAACATGGCGAAAGCACATGTCCCCTAATGAGACATGACCAGGATTCGAACCCTCCCTGTGTTCCCCAAGTCCCGGCACTCATGTCCCCACCAAACTGCCTTTGGCCCTTGTATCTTGAGTCCCACAGAGAGAACTTGGCCCCTGTTTGCCCTGACCCTTTACTACAGAACTGTAAGCAGGTGCCGTACTACAGGGCGTGACATTTCATAACGGACACGCGTCTCTCTGGACACCATTTTAAGTTCTGTAAGAAACTAGCGCCTCCTGAGAGGCTGTCAGCGGGTGCTCAGCCCACAGAGGGTGGGACTGCAAGCCTGACGTCATCACAGAAGGCTTGGTGCTTTCTCTCTCAACCTTTAGTCTGTCTATCTGTCTGT